TGTGTGCGCCCACACTGACCAATGCTAACATTCTGTAAACATCGGCGCTGCTATAAACTCTGTATTCATTCAAATAGAAAAGACAAGAAATATATCCAGGCAGAGAGCAGCTGTTCTGAGATCGCTCTGAAAGTGATCCCAGCGATATTGTTCATAGTTATTATCGTTTATTTGTGGTAAAATATAAGTGCTTTTACTGTGTTTGGGCTACATGCTCGTCGTTAGTTTCATTTCTCTGTAAACGAATACAACTCTGAAAAGAAGGACACATGCAGGAAAACAGCGACCGGAACATGTACTGTGATCGCAGCGATGGATAATAGGCCAGCGGTGGGGAATGTATCTGTGGCTTTGTGAAACTTTTAGCTCGCTCGTTGAAGCTGGCTACAATAGCTACTAGCCTAGCCTGGCCTAGCCGCTGCTGCTGCTGCTGCTTCTTCTTTTATTGATTTAGCGGTTGGCATCCAAGGTTCAGGTGCATGACCGCCGCTTACTGTACACACAAAAGCAATGCAGACTGGGTAGCATATGTGTAATATGATATATGTGTAATAAAGGCTTTGTTATACATATCTATGCTGGGTAGGACTAATCTCTTCCGGGTCTACGGCGAGGCTGCGCACCAACGCTAACAGGGTTGCCTTAGCAACAAGCGCTAATTTCCCCCAAACACTGCCGGTGTAACAAAAACCAAAAATACCACAATACGATGTACTCTTTTGCACTTATTCCATACTACACTTATTATACTTCAACAGTAGCACATTTGTCAGTACTTCAATCTGTTTATTTGAGTTTATCAATACAAAAACACAACCCTAGTTCAATAAATATTGAAAAGCCAAACAAGTAGAAGTGACCTCATGTCAAATTACGGCTGAAAAATGCTTAAATGACTGAAAATTACTGTATTTTTACGAGATGATTTTTTTTTCTATTTTACTGCATTTCTGGTGTCCAGCTGGTAAAATATGAATTATGTTGTTTTTTTTGCAGTGTAGGATTTCCTCAGTACCTGACTAAATGAAATCCTTTATTGTAACATTTATTGTGTAAATAACTTTGTGTTACAATCAATTTGTGCAAAAAGCACAACACACATTAGGATTGATTGACTGATTGACTGAATGATTGATCAAACATCCAGCTTTCAGTAATAGTAAAAGGAGGCGTTAGACATTAAATATTGAGTTTCTAATAAACCTGAGTCAAGGTTAACTATTGTTTTCTGACCCTGACTGGATCTCATGGTCTTCATCAGTGGAGCTGTTGCAGTGTGGAGTGATTTCTTATTAAACATTCATTTTGATTTCATTTGTGCTTCAGGAAACACAAAACTGGTCGTTTGTAAGTTCACACAGACACTCAGACGTGAGCTATAAGTAGGGATTTTATTGAATAATTACATTCATGTGTGAAGATGATCAACATTAACATCACAACGTGCAACATGTAGTTTATGATCCCACTTCAATGCATTCTGCTGGATGATTCCTGAACTGCTGGAAGAGATGAACAGAGAACTTCATCTCCACCTGTGATGACAGTTAGTGATCTTTCAGCGCCACCTTCTGGATTCATCATGAACACACAAACTTTCTTCCTTTTAGAAAACTAATAAACTAATCCAGTAATTAATCTGAAAAATAATAAAAGCTTAAAAGAATAACTGCAGCAGAAAAACTTTCATTTTATTTAGTGACCTGAAACTGATATTAGTGTTTACATTATGAGAGAAAGTAAAGTTTGTTTATGTGCAATTTGTTTTGAATGCTTGCTGTTATTTTACAGGTCGTCCTTGTGTTGATAAATTTCAGGTAAAAAGTAAAATCACAGGGAAAAAAACATACTAATTATTCATGAATAACTTTTAAAAATTAACACATGTGACAGTAGAGTTAGACAGTTTGATTTGATTAAAATCAGTAACAATAAAATAACAAAAATAAATAAATCTGTATATGATATTATTTTACAGTGAAGTTACAGTATCCACCAGTTTCAGTGTATTTTTTCTGACATCCTTTCTGTCAGATTTATTTATTTCTTTGACATTTTTCATTAATTTTACAGATAGTTGGCATCATTTGAAAGAAAAAAATAATGTATATTTAAGATCGAAAAACTGCACTTCTTCCCATTTCTGTTTTGTTAAATGACAAATAATATGTTTTAACATCACAGAAATAACATACTAATTATATTAATTTATATGCTGGCTGTAAAAACAAATAAACAAACAACAACAAAACAGGCCAAAACTGTAAATAATGCCCACATAATGATGACCATGATTTTACAAATAGTAATTTGTTCATTAAAGTTGAATTGAATTAATTTAGAACATGTAATCATAAAATGACACAATTTTACTGTGTTTTAATCTGTTAACTGTTAATATCATTATCATTGTGATATTCACAGTTATTTTTACTATTTTTACCATTTTTAAATGATATGACATTACACTGTTTCAAAAGGAGGCTTCGGCCGATTGTCGAACCTCGGATTCAGGAGGAGCAATGCGGATTCCGTCC